CAGTTTTCTACAACATTTGTGTTGTAGAAAAATTAAAACAAAAACCCATAAATGAAATTAAAACAAAAACCCATAAATTAAAATCAAAACACACACACACACACACACACAACCACGTCATCACCACTCAAAACCCATAAAAAAAATCCCCATGCTGCTAGTCTTGTTCCGCGGCCCGGGAAGTCTTGATTTACGGTCCTTCTTTTGTATGAACTAGCAACCGGTTTGGGGTTACCCTCTCTTTATCTGGATAGCGAATGAGGGACCGGATTGTGGTCGCCCACTTTTCTTTTGCAAGCCGAGAAACGGTTGATGTAAATTCAGTTTTGGTCTATATAATTTTATTTAACGATAAAAAAAAAACCCATAAAAAATTAAAATAAAAATAATAATAATAAATATATTTTACCAGTTGATGCCCTAGCTCGAGAGTTGTTTCTCTGTAACAGTCTCTTTTTCCAGCACTGCTCCCGCATAACACACAAACCTTCTTGAATCTCGATTTTACTACTTTTTCATCCAACTACTTCTTGCTTCTCTGTAAAAATTTCTCTTATTTTTCTTTCTTCCCAACTTTTTGTGGAGAGCCCAAAAGCTAATAGAGTTGTGTGCATATATAACTCACATCCTATGCGTTCTTTTTCCAAAACTAATTATTAAATGGAGACAAAAATAAATAATTAAGTAAAATATGAGAAATTAATAAGATATGGCTTTTTTTTTTGAGTTTTTACTTTTGTGTCTGGGGCTTTGCGCCTTCGAACCCTAGGCGTACAAGTGGATTCAACATTCAATCATACTAGTACAACACCCGTGTATTACACGGGTGCTTGTTAAAAAATTATTCTTACAAATTTTAAAATAGAGGCAGTTCAAAACAAAAGCATCATTAAAAATGTCAGCCAAACAAGACACATTTGAGATGAAAAACTAAAAATAATACATCAAAAAAGGGAAAAGAGACTCTGAAGATTCTTCTCTCCACATATACATGTGCCTATTTGTGTATACCATTTTAGTGAACTTTAAGATTATGGAGAAATAGGAAGCATCAATTTACTGTATGACAAGAAATAAGTTGATATTAATGAAAATATATCAACTAACCTCAAGTTTTTGGACAAGCTCTTTGGGATTAGGTGCAGAAACAAAGATGTGGCGCTCCGAAGGCTTTATGAAGCCATCATCGACTGCTTTGTCGATAAAAGTTAGGAAGAAGTTGTAGTAGCCATCAACATTCAGTAAACCCACCTAATTAACAAACAAAGTCTCAACATATTACAAAAAATATAACAAATGAATAACATAAAATACAAATCATATGTAGCTTAGAAGTTATATATATTTCTCACAGGCTTGTCATGGATGCCTAGTCGAGCCCAGGTTATAACCTCTAACAACTCCTCCAAAGTACCATAACCTCCTGAAAACAAGAAACATTTTTAACAAAACAAGTTCATATTTTACATACATTGAGAGAGAGAGAGAGAGAGAGAGAGAGAAATTACCAGGCAAAGCAATGAAGCAATCAGAATGAAGGGCCATCTCAGCCTTCCTCTGGTGCATATTAGCCACCATTCTCACCTCGCCAACAGTTTCACCAGTTTTCTACAACATTTGTGTTGTAGAAAAATTAAAACAAAAACCCATAAATTAAAATCAAAACACACACACACACACACACACACACACAACCACGTCATTGTTTAGTATATTTTTGGGCATGTGGTAACCGAGGTACCCGACTCGGGTCGTTCTCAAAGGAAGGCTATTCGGAGCTTCGTTCACTACCTAGTCGTCAAAATCACACAACCAAAAACGTCCTAAACATTCTACTCGCAAATTGGGGATTTAAATTAATCTAAGCTAATCTACGAAATTGCAATTGAAAGCAATTAACTAAGCACGCAAGAAGATGAGAGAAATCAAGGGGGAAAGAGAGATTTTGGTTCGACGGAGTCTCCATGATCAATCGCACGCAAATAACCGAACATTGCCATGCTAGCTAAAACCCTAGGAAGCTAAAACCCAACTCTAGCACAAGACGAGCAAGAATTCAACTCCTAATCACACTTAGTCAAGCATTCTCGATCTAAAGATTCAATCTTTTCCTCCAAGCAACACAAGCACAATATCGATTTTCACAAAAGCAAACAAAGATATACGAAGTAATGAGGCTTAAGACTAAGTACCCACTCTCACACGCACTTGGGAAGAAAACCGGAGTCAAAAGCTCGAAACTTTACTCGAAACAACGTCGCCGGAAATTCACCGGAAAACTTGATTCATAAGCTCCAAACCAAAGCATAAAAAAGGAAAAAAGAAAATAGAGAGGAATTCCCAACTTAAAAGTTGGGAAATGAGAGTTGTTCTCAAAAATACAAAGCATAATGTCTTTTTATAGCTACACCACAAACACACACTAAAACACACACATTAAATGATGAAAACTCGTAGGATAGGTCGAATTCACAGGATAGGTCCTTTATTTTCGCAGCTTGAACACCAAAACTCGCAGCTTAGATGATGAAACTCGCGGGATAGAAGGCGATTTCGCAGGCTCGAAATTTCTCCTCTGAACATGCTCTAGCCAAACTCGCGGGTTACAGGCTTTTCGCGGCCGCGAAATCATTTTTCGCGGGTTGGAAATGGTCCCATGACCTCTTGATGCTCGATTTGCTCTAACTTCTCGCACACAACTCCAATTCGCACGAAACTTGGACCAAAATTCTCCTCATTGAATTCTCTTCGTCCCGGTATGGCTTGGTCGGATTTTTCGGGTTGGATGGCTCGGATGGCCCGTCTCCTCTTCTCGACAAGTTGGACCTAAACAACACCAAAACAAAATAGAAAACGCGCAAAAATACGAAAGCACTATACAATAACAAAAATACACAAAACACGATAAAATGGACCGATCGACACTAAAACGAGCCTAAAAACTATAAAATAAAGTACACAAAACACACGAAAATAAGCACAAAAACACAATAAACAACTCCCCCACACTTAAACCTTTGCTTGTCCTCAAGCAAACAAAACAACAAGTAGTGTTGAAAGGAGAGATCGAGCGGTCCAAGATCAACAAACATGCACTATGTACTCTATTAATCACTCGGTTATTTACAAAATAAAACTCAAACTCGAGAGCACGGTTCCCACATGTGAATCCAACAAAACAAAAACAAGTCCCAAGTTATTCAATCATGATTTACTCA